ACGATATCCAGGTATTTATCGATCAAGTCCTTTCAAATATCTTAGATGATAACTAGATATTTTGTTAGGCTCACTTTTCACATAATCTCGGGAATATTCCCTTGTGTCACACCTATGAGGAAGGTATAGGTGCAGCGGCCAAATCTTTACGAGTACCTATGGCGATGTATAGGTATTTCGTAAAGGTCGGAATATTCTCCTAATCTCGGGAAGGTTCCCCAGTGTTGCACCTATAACGATAACTAGGTGCAGCGACCAAATCTTTACAAGTACCTATGAGGAAGGTATAGGTATCTCATAAAGGTCGAAACATTTTCCCAATCTCATAAGACTCCCCTGTAGCACACCTATGAGGAAGGTATAGGTGCAGCAACCAAATCTTTACGAGTACCTATGAGGAAGGTATAGGTATTTCGTAAAGGTCGGAATATTCTCCTAATCTCAAAAGGTTCCCCCGTGACATACCTATGAGAAAGATATAGATACAGCGGCCAAATCTTTACGAGTCCTTATGAGGAAGGTATAGGTATTTTGTAAATGTCGGAACATTTCCATTTCGCTGAATCTTTCTCTCGAGAACCCTAGACGATAACTGGGTGCCTTAAACTTTCTTCATGTGTCTTGACTGAATTGCAGGTCACCGAAGTCCATCAGTGTTCATAAGGCAACATCTTTGGAACAAAGCCCAAGTAATTGTTAAATGATACAGAATCAGAATCATGCCTCGATTTACTTTACCACTCCTACAAGGTAAGTAACTTCAAGTACGTTTTTATTATTCGCATGCATCATTTCTTATTGCATTTCAAAATGGGACTCATACTCCCACAAAAAAATAACATTCATTGCATGGTTAAAATTTAGGTATCATTTAGTCTTTGAATGCAACCTCTGCGAGCTCACCTTCAAAGAGGGGCAGCTGTTGACACCTAAATTTTGATTAACCATTTAGTGATTAATTACATAGTAAATCAGGGATTAAATTTTAACCCCTAAACAAAAATATTAAAATTGCATAGCATATAGTTTAGGTTCATATAGGTTAATTGCATTCCACATCAAACCAGCGGTGGCAAGTAAGCTGAAAATTCATCGTGTAAACCGAGCTCGGGCGTCAAACGAAATTCCGCTCATTCAAAGGATGGGGCAATGGGTCTTGGTTGTCTTATTTTGAGCTTAAATTAGCCCATTGAGCTTAATTAGAGAAAATCTCAAATTAATTGAACCCATTCAGAATTAAAATAAAATTAGATGATAAAGCCTAAGCTGAAGCCCACTAGGATTAGAAAGCCCAGTCAATTAACCTAGGCATGCGATATAAATATGTCGTTATACGTTATAATCAAAGGAGACTTTCATAATTTTTGGAAAACACAATTTCAGAGAGCAGGAGAGACACACGTAGATGAGAGAGAAGACAAAAAAAGAGAGAGACTCGGCTGGATCCTCACAGTCTCAACCCTGAGCTCCCTCTTGGCCATGCTTTCCACGTTGCACCGCCGTTGCTCATCACTTGTTTCTGACGACGTTCACTGCTGTCGCTGTCTGGAAGCTCCTGTCCCGCGAAGTTACAAGAATACAGAGAGAGAACGACGTCCATCGGGGAGGGCGTTAAGAAGGGGCAGCCACAATTCAGAGTGGGTGTCGTATGTAGAAGATACAAGCGAGAGATTGAGGAACATGTGCAGTGAAGGGGGCCCACTCTCCATCAATTCTCATCTTCATACCTCAGTGTGATTCACGTAGAAGACCATCTCAAGCGTTGACTTCACACACGGACGCACGTTTAACACATTGGAGTAGACTTGTGATGTCCGTTCTAGCAAACGTCCGTTCCTAGTTTAAATTAGGTGTTATTGTAATCCTAATAGATTATTTAGGTTATTTTAAGATTTCGAATTTTCATGAAAATCCCAAAAGAATAAGTTACTTTAAGATAGATTGGGATAGATTGCATTCCTAATTTGAGTAACTTTTAATTTCAAATTTTAATAAAAAATATAAAAAAAAGAAGTTGTTAGATTGCGTGTTATTTTAGACATCTTTTAATTTCGAATTTCATTGGAAAAATACCAAAAATAAATCATTTGTCCGTCATTAGAATTAGGTCACTTCGACGCATGACTTATAGTTCGCATGCTAGGTTGCATTAATTGCATGTCATTTTTGCACGTCATTGCATATAGGTTAGTTTGCATTTTAATAAAGCGCAAACCCTAAAGAACACCTTGAGTGCCTTGCTTTATTAATTAGAAATCATAGTAGGATTGTCTGTATGATTTTTTACTAACAATGTAGATGCTTACGTTGCATTAAGGTACGTCATTCTCCTAATCTTGCAATCTATTCATTGCTTTCTTGGGTGTTAAATTGGTGGTTTGCGCACCCGCATGAACACCTCACATGTTAGTGATTAAGTAATAAAATGGATTCAGACTGCCTGCATAGACATTTTTTGAAAAGAAAAGGTACCGAAAGGGCGTTAGACTAGATCTAGCTTAATCAAGTCCTCGAACTTAGAATCTCTGGTTCATAGGAATAAAACATATCTCCTTATGTTTTATTTAGGTTTCTAATCGACCTACCACAAATAGACTAGTGGCGACTCCAAGCATGAAAACTTTTGTATATTAAAAACTTAAACCCTAAGTTGCGAATTGATAAGGCTTGGGAGGGTCCGAGTTAGGCTTAGTCTTAATAATCCATTAGCCTGAGAAATTTAGGTCGTGACAGTTCATGTTAGCAATTTCCGCGCCTAACGTCCTGGGCACCGATGTTCCGGGAAAATGATTTCCCATTTTTGAAAGAGGAAAACATTTTCTTGAATTTAAGCTTTGGTAGAAAAACATTTTCGGTTGACTAATTTTCTTAAGCAAACTAAACGCTGAAAAATGATGAAAAAAAAATTTTCAAAAATTATTTTCCGCAAAACACACGGAGCCTTCAATTTCTCTAAGTAGTTACGTAACAAACCTTCTATTTTCATTTGACACGTACCTCACCTTTGAAATTCATATCTCTATTATCCTAGTGAAAATTGCACCCATTCGTTTCCTATCTGGCATGCCCATAGCACGCTAAATATCTAGTCTATTTCTAAACTAATTTTAGGCTTCGACTTTGGTATCCCTAGAGTCACTCGAAAACCCTATACGTGGTGCCTCCGAAAGTGGTCAACGAAGGGAATTGTTCTATAATCGGGCGGACCACTCCACTTGTCTTAGATTTAACTTCTTCCCTACGTATAATTTGGTGGACGATTGAGACTTGGGAGTGAGGACAAATGATTGTTGCTTTCGTTGGCTTATTCATGCCTCATTAGCTTAAACAAATGACTAAATCAACGAGCTTTACTCTTATATATTTGCACACGAATCATGTTTTTTCCTGAAAAAGCTCTATAAAACACAAGTATGATAATAAGGTCGGCAGCCACGGATTGACCGAATTATAATAAGTGTGATAATTTACGTGCACTCTTTGGTATTTCCTCCGTACAATAAGTGTGATAAACAAACCAAGTGATGGTCATGGATGGACCATCCCTCGTATAATATCACATATCTTAAGTGCAATGAAAGAGATCGTTAACTAATCCATAAATAATGTGCATGTGTGCACGCTACTTTAAGAGTTTGTGGAATTAGCTCACTTACAATATTGCACGGTTGAGATACTTGAGGATTACCCTTTTTTTTTGTAAATTTGTTTTTGAAGCAGAATACTTTTCTATAATTCGAGGATATGAAGGACTCTTTATTTCTCATTCCGTGTATGGAAGTTGAAATGACTACTTGAAGTTCGTAAAGGACCGTATATTTCTCCTTTAGCTTTTATAACAGTGAGACCACCATCAAAATTAGAAATGCGGCCGGAACAACATGACCACAACCGTACCAGACAACCTGCAAAATCAACACGAGGTGGATGAAGTGGAAGCATTAAATTCCATTGAAGATAATCGACCCACAAGCCCAACTCAAGTCTCGTCAGTTAACGAAGCCTATGATATTTATGCAAGCTAAGGGAGATTTTGGCCATCACATGATCTAATGGGTCCCACGAGGAGAAGACACTCAAGATGGAGATTCTAGGAGCTATAGATTAAAGGCTGATTCGGCTGGGTCAATGCGAGAGGGTTGTTTTCTAATTTGGAATAAATTTCCTAATTTAAGTAAACTTTTTTGTTTAAGTAGATTTCTTGATTTGAGTAGGTTTTCTAAATTTAAGTAGCTTTTTTTCTAATTTGAATAGGTTTTCTAGTTTGATTAAGTTTCCTAGTTTGAGTGATTTCCTACTTTAATATTTCTTAGTTCCTATGTCTTAGTCCGTCTATGAAAAGAAAGTGCACTCTCAAATGTAAAAATTTAGATTTACAGTTGATAATATACAAGAACTCTTCTCAAGTGAGTGAATCATTCAGTTGTTATCCAATTCTTTGGTGCTGAATCTTGAAGTTCTTTATCTTGGTTGATGGAATACTTATTTATGCTTTGGTGATGAACTTTTCCATCCCAAAGTTATTTTCCCTCAAATGCACCAAGCACTTTGATTCATCCCATCAAACATGTTCAACATTCTCATAAACTCATGTGTCTCTTGAGTTAGAAATCGCTCAACATTCCAATCGATTATGCCAATCCAAGGGTGCTAAGGGTGGGAGATGTTCAACTTACACTTAAAGTTAAATATCGCGGGTCAAATTTTGTGTAAAATATTGACAGGTCAAGAGTAAGATTTTTCGCAACTCATTTTGCAAGATAATTTAATAATATAATATAATATAATATAGTATAGTATAGTATAGTATATATCCAAAGTAATCAATCAAATCTAGACATCTACATATCTTTTCAATAATTCTTTAAGAGAATTAACATTTTCTGATGGACCATTACCCTCGTTGGACACTTCCTATTACGAACAGTCTCGTTGACAAAAATCCATCTATATATGTCGGCCTCCTAAATAGAAAGAATGAGATATCCCTCTAGCTGAAACACAACTGGCTCACCTACACTCCTCTCTTGTTAGCATACTAAGCTAATCATCGGTCTTTGTGATTTCTCATCCTCTGGATTGTTATCAATGGAGACACAGGTAAGCGCACTAGGGAGGACGCTCCTCGTGCCATGTGTTCAGGACATGCTGAAGGAGAACCCGACCAAAGTCCCGAAGAGATACGTCCGCGACGATCAAGAATCTCCCGTGATCACCGACGCTTGTTCCGGCTTGCCTCAAGTCCCCGTGATCGACTTGGGGAGGTTGGTTTCGGAGGACGGTGCAGAGCCGGAGCTCGAGAAGCTGCACCATGCGTGCAAAGACTGGGGCTTCTTTCAGGTACAAAACAACTACTGCATTTCAAAAACAAAGTGTTCGACAAAATGTCTGAGAAAAAAAGGGTGTTCATCGATTGAAAGAGATTAAAATCCACATGATGTCCTGAGTACTTTTACTACATGTGGGCTCTCAACGTTGTGATAGATGGTATACGAGTCATTCAAATGGATTTGCAAGGGATGCATGGTAAGGATTAACCCGAGAGGCTGGCAAAGCTCAGGCGACCATCGCCACTAGGAACAGTTAGATGTACAACTTTTAGCCATCATTTAATGTAGTCTAGGAGATTTTCCCCTGGAATTTCTTTATTTTGCTCCCCGGACTCACTTTTTACCTCATACCAAATCTAAGTTTCTGCAGCAGCCCCTCTGCATCCTGAATTCATGGGGTCAAGATAGTGGGATGTTTCTGTGCCATCCTGATTTCCTGATTTCATGTTTCGCTTTTGTTACATCACCATATAATCAATACAAGATCTTCGTAAAAGGTGTGTGAAATCAGACTTAGATTGGCATATAAGACAATTGGTTTTGCTTCGGAAGAATTTTGAAGACAAGGGCAAAAGAGATTCACTACATTATGAATGAGCCTACCTTTTGATAGGATGAGGAACATGGACTGAGCCTGGCATATAAACGATTACCTTTAACAAAAAAAAAAATATAAGCAATTACCTAAACTAGCACTTAGACATTATAATATTGTGGAGTTAACGAAGAACAAGGAAGATCCAACACTCACAAGTTAAATTGAAAAGATACCCCGTAGATTTTGCCAAGAAGTTTTTCTTAAATTGCACTATCTGTGCGCGTTTCTCACAATTAATGGGGAAATATATGCGAACAATAACCAATCCCACATTGGCAAGTCAACGTTTCCGATTGACCATGCATTACAATTTATTACATTAAATTACAGTCAATTTGAGGTAGTCCACATCTGTTGTTTGCATGCCACACTTAGTCAGTTGACCAGGTATTGACCTCGTGTTCGGAAAAGAAGACTGATTGTTGTACCTTTGAGATTAGGTAAAGCAATGTTGTTGTTTAAGGGGATTATGGCCGCACACTGTCTTTATATGAATTTGGAGATGTGAGTTCCTCGATTGTCTCTGTCGTAAAGACTGCTAATGAGACAGATTTATCTATTGCAACATTCTTAATTAATGTTGGAATTGAGATCTGTTGTTTACTCATCATTCAGGAGATCAGAACTTTCTCTGTCTTGATCTTAGTGGAATGTCTGTTTCTGGGTGAAGTATGACTGATAGTGTCATGTTAACAATTGTTCAGCTGATAAATCATGAAGTGAGCCCTAAGTTGCTAGGGAAAGTGAAGAAGGGGATCGAAGAGCTGTTCAACATGCCAATGGAAGAGAAGAAGAAGTTTTGGCAGAGAGACGGAGAATTGGAGGGCTTCGGACAGGCCTTTGTGTTCTCGGAAGACCAAAAGCTTGATTGGGCTGACCTGTTCTACGTCAACACCCTCCCTGCTTCTCTCAGGAAGCCTCACTTGTTCCCCAAACTCCCTCTTCCCTTCAGGTTCTCTCTCTCTCTCCTTCACTCTTACCATGGGAAAAACAAGCATAAAAAACACCATAAAATTATTATGTAACAGTTGTGCCACGTGGGCAAACATGCATAAAGTATGAGATCATTTGATTAAGTAAGCGATATTGCGTCAGCATGTCACGTGATATAATCGGGATATGAACAACTTTCTTTTTTACAAGGGTTTAGTGTGGGGCGTGCTCCATAATATTCCCTTATCACCTAAAGAATGAAATTGTCTACATGGTAGAGGCGATTTGGACACCTACTCAAAGGAAATGCAAACCCTAGCCATAAAGCTCCTCTACCTCATGGTGAAGGCTTTAGGAATGGAGGCAAAGGACCTCGAGGGGATGTTTGAAGACGGGTTGCAAGGGATGAGGATGAACTATTACCCACCATGTCCACAACCTGAGCTCGTGATAGGCCTAAACTCTCACTCCGATGCTGACGCGATCACCATTCTCCTCCAGGTCAACGAAATGGAGGGCCTCCAGATAAGGAAAGATGGAAAGTGGATTCCTGTGAAACCTCTCCCTGGTGCTTTCATCATCAATATAGGAGACATTGTTGAGGTAATATTGCAACATCAAATTACTCATTGGACCATATTCATGATAATTCATTGTCTCATTCTCAAAGCCTTCTCTTCATTGGCCGATGGCAGATTATCACGAATGGGATATACCAGAGCATCAACCATCGAGCGACAGTGAATGCAGTGAAGGAGAGGATCTCCATTGCAACGTTCTTCAGTCCGAGAATCGATGCTAAGATTGGTCCCACGCCGAGCCTCATAACCCCGGAGACCCCAGCATTGTTCAGGAGGACAACGGTGGCAGAACATCTGAAGGGCTATCTAACAAGCGAGCTGAAGGGAAAAGCTCATCTTGACGCTATGAGGGTTAGGCACGAGGAACCCTCGAAGAGCTGAGTTATCTTTTGAGCATGAATGTGAAAATGGTGACACGCAGAATGGTCATGAAACCAGACTATATGATATGGGTTTTGTATCTCGTGGAGGTCCTTTTTGAGGAAGACAATAACGACTTCAAAAACTTGCTGTCAGTCTCATCTCTTGCTTATCTGAACCATCAAACAGTCTTGTGAAGTCCATGGCATTGACTTTCTGTTCCATCCTTCTCTTGATCAAGTGATGAATGTGCGGCCTCGTAATAACCTAAGCAGCGCCAAATCGAGGTTCACGAGACTATGGCTCGCATCTTACCTTAACTGATCTATATGGCTAGAGGGGCATTTTTTTAGCTTGGACATACTTATTTAACGCGGTTTTCTCGTCATTAAGAAAAAATAATGAAGAAAGTCATGAGACTAAGCCAAATTTCAGAACTAAAAACAGTTTCTGAATCGTGTGACCAGAAGTTCGGTGGACTGCAAAGTCATCATAAGGCACGGATATTGCATTTCATAATTTCTCTTTTCTTCTACGAGCAAGCCCATTTAAGATAAACAATGGTTTCCGTAATTTCCATATCTCAAGTATCATGCGAGCGAGAAAGTTCGGGTGGATGACTCGTGTGTGGAAAATGTATACATTCAATGGCATGGAGATCTGAAGTAATGTCGTGCGCATAATCCTAACTTTATATTTGTTCCTTAACCACTAAGGATGAGGTTTAGCTGCAATGGGGTTGCAACATTAATGTTACTTCCGAACACGTGATGCGCGTTCGCTTAAGTCTTTAAATCACCGGTAAAGAGATTGAACTATAAATTCACTCCATCAAAACAGGTATTCACAGTCGTTTGCATTACGTTATTGCGGGACCATTGACATATCATTCTTTAATGAGCTAACCTATTTATATATATTTTTTGGTTGGAAACCTATTTATTTTTATTTGTGGGTATTTACACTTTATAAACCCGTAATATTCTTCCCATGAAAGTTATATTTCTGGCGATCCAATTCGAGCCTTGTTTTCATGCCAAAGTTGTAGGATCAGGAAAATACCAATTAGGGTGCGCATGACAACGATTCTGTACCCGGGAACTGATTATGCTCAGAAATGATTCTTTTTTATTCCATGCCCGGGAACAATTTCTAAGCATTTGAAGGCGTTTGGCAACTGTCCAAAATTTCTATTCTTAGAATACAAAAAGAACATAAATGCGTTTAGTAACTACACAAAATTTCTTTTTATTAATAATATTTTGAAATTTTTTAATATTTCTTTCTTTTTTTTCTTTCTTTCCCTTTCCTTCCCTTCCGACCACAGGCCAGGGCCGGTGAGGGCGTCACGGCCCTTGCCATCGCGACCCATCTCCCTCGCCCGGGTCGCGACGGCGAGGTCGGCCTCGCCATGGCTGGGCGAGGCCTCGCCGTCACAGCCGTGAGCCGCCCTCGCCGGCATTAACCTGTGGCCAGTCGCCGTCACAGCTGTGACATCCTGAAAATTTGTCCATTTGGGATTTATAAAATGTTTGGTTTTATGAATGTGCTCGTAGTTAGTTCTCGCCCGGAACTGATCATTCTTAGGATACTAACTATTAGGGAAAGGCTAATTAGAGATTTAAATTCATGCGACTAAGAGGAAATTCGATCGTGAATTGATTTCGACCATAAAATCGTCGATGTGACATTTTGAGCCACTGTCGGCCGATCCAAGGATAGACAGGGGTCAGTTTGCCACTGTCATAATAGTGGATCGCGGGTATTTCCGCTGGACCACGAAATGAATTGACGAATGATCCTGAACCTATACCGAACGATCGTGCCCCTCGGATCTAGCAATTGATCCTCGCGATTAAATGACAACCGAAGTCGTCACGAATCGAATGAATTTGCACGTGACTCGATTTATTGTCAGTCACGGGTCGAATATGCGAATTTCCCCAAAAAGCCGCCCGTTAGTTTGAGAAATGCTCGAGTTACGTTTAATAAAATTTAATTATTTAATTGAGCCCAAACTGGACACCGGAAAATTAGGAAGTCACAACGGGACATTAGGACGACGTTGTGGTTGGAAAGTGCAGCTTCGGATTTGCCCGAATCCTTCAGGAAAATTTAATTTCGGTGAGAAATGAGGAAAGTGACCATTTTACCCTTGGGGATTTATGAAGGGCATGTTTTACGAGGGAGGGGCATTTTGGTCATTTTGCCCTAACTTTTTGGTTGGACATTTTTGCGCTTGGAATTTTATGAAATTCCCAAATTGCCCTTGGATATTTTTGGGAAGGATTCGATCTCGGCCGACGGTTTCAAGATAAGATAAAATCTGGGCCATCGATTTGGATTGAGAGACAAGGGCAGGATGGTAAATTGCCACTTTTGGTCAAAATTGGACTATTTGAGTCCAAGACCCATTCTCTCTCCTCATTCCCTCTCTCTCTCCCTCACGGCAGCCCCCCCACTGTGAGCTCTCTCTCTCCCCTTGGCCGATCACCGCCGCCGCCGGTCATGCCCGCCGAGCCACCGCCCGTCCACCGCCGTACCGCACCATCGCCAGCACCCCACGCCGCCGTCTCTCTCTCCCTCTCTCTCTCGTGTGGCCGTGGGTCACGGCCAAGGAAGCCGGGGCCGCCGCCACCGCCACCGCCAAGCCGCGCCGCCGCTAGCCGCCGTCCCTCGTCGATCGACCCCGCTTTCCGCTCTAGCCGCGCTAGTCTAGAGTTCGGTAAGTCGCGCCCTAAACCTTATTTAGGACGTCGGGTATCGACGGATAATTTAGATTGGACTCGGGTTTAATTAGGCGCGGATTTGCACGGTTTAGGAGCGGAATCGATTAGCGGGCTTTAGGGATGAGTTTGGAAAATTTTGGTGGAAATTTTGAGGTCAAAAGTGGGCTGTGGGTGGCTGATTTGAGTGCTGTGATGCTCGGTTCGGTACGCAAATTGGATATTTAGAACCGGCGAGTAATTGGGGAAAAATGTCGTGAAGAGCCGGAACTGATTTGACGTAGTTTGGATATGGAAAAATGCCAATTTGTATGTTGATTGTGTGTTCGCACTGTGATTGAATTGTGATGGTGAAATGGGGTGCATTAGTGTGCAATTGATTGATTGAAATATGATTTGCTATGTGCACGCTCGGGCCAAAGTGAATTATCTGTCAATTGGCCATATTGGATGCTTATTGAGCATGAAATTGTGTGTGAATTGAGACGTGCACGGGCCACATGTGATTGGCCAATTTAGTGGCAAGCGAGTGTTAAGTGTGTGAATGAACGAGAAATTGTGTGTGGTGTGGCATGTGCGATCGTGGGAATATTTCCGTCTTGAGGCGGTACGACTACGCGGGACGATGCCTGGTATTACCATAGGACGGCCAACCTGAGGCGGTATCATTACGCGGGTTGTGTCGTAGGTGGTAGGTGTTGAGCCTGAGGCGGTACTACTACGCGGGCAAGATACATGGCCTGAGGCGGTACCATTACGCGGGCCGAGGAGTGCTGGGAACATGGCCAACCTGAGGCGGTACCATTACGCGGGTTGCGCACTAGGAGAATGGATGTTGAGCCTGAGGCGGTACTACTACGCGGGCAAGATACATGGCCTGAGGCGGTATCATTACGCGGGACCTGGAGTGTTGTGATAAGTTGGTCGCAGTGAACCTGAGGCGGTACCATTACGCGGGTCACTGGCGAGTGGTGTGGAAAAGAATGTGATGAGGCAAGCGTGAATGCATGATATGTGATTCGAACGTGCAGATTGCACGCTGGGAAGGCCAGGTAAGTACTGATCGTGTGCCTGCTATGTGGTGTTTGGGTGTGTGACTGTGTTTTGTAATTGTCCGGAGGTATGTGATAGCCTAGGTGGGGTTTAGGGGTGTACTTGCTGAGATGTATTCTCATGGTTGTTTCAACCAAACATTTCAGAACCCCGACAGGAACAATGAATCCCCTGCCGCCGCCGCCTGAGCGTTTTGGAGTCCCAATGCACACCGAACATGATGTAGTAGAGTTTCCTGTGGATGACCAAATGACCTGGATTAAGCATACAATCGTAGTTTTTGTAGATATAGGATTACCCCTATGGCAGGCCCATACATATACCGCATGGTTCTTCCAAAACAGGATAGATGAGTTCGGTCCTGTCCGAGGATTTGACCTCCCTTTTGATGGAGTTGGGGACTGGGACCCGTCTGCTATTCGTCCCCCTGATGGCGAATTGACTAGTGTAGAGACCAGTCTGGCGCAGTCAGGACAGCATCCGGCGTCCGCAGCATCAGGGTCTTCGTTGGCTAAGCACGAGCCGGAGCCGGAAGGGTCTCTAGCGGGAGACGACCCCATGGATGTGGATCTGGAGCCAATTCCAGAGGAAGAACCGGAACAAGAAGGGGCAGAGGCCGAACCCGAGAATGAGCCTGCTGAGTCTGCAGAGCCTGAAGAAGAACCGGAGCATATACTCCCTTATGAGCAGTGGATGGACCCCAATTTTGTACCTGAGAACAATTTCTTTGAGGAGTCGGTCAGGGAGGAACGGGTCGAGGTTCCAGCTGAGTCAGGTGATATCAACCACCCGATCGAGATTGAGGTAGAGTCGGAGTCCTCGGAGGAACAGGCTGATCAGGGAAGTCCAGATTCAGAGGACGAGGAATCAGACTCAGAATGGACGCCGAGCAAAGGGCGTAGGGGTTAGCGTAGGGGTTGAAAATAAGTTTTTGGAGGTGTACCATTTTTGGTGATAGAATATCCGGGTCATCGATCCTTTTTTAATATCGATGGTTTTATAGTGTGGTGTGCATGTGTATGGCGGATGTAAATTGTGAATATTGTATAAGTTTGGATAAGAAATGAATATGTATATTCTCCCTGATTATCCCAGTTTTATTTGTCCGGGTACTTTGAGGTTTCCGCTGATTGTTTAAAATCTCTGATAATTATAAGTGAGGTCGGCGATACCCTGGGACGTCGCATTAATCGACCAGTGAAGGATGACGCGTGCTCGATGGGGTTTGGGGCGTGACATCCTGGTTGAATTGGTATCAGAGCAAGGTCAGCTCGATCTAAACTGGTCGAAGTTGGAGTGATAAGGAGTAGAGACCCTGGGGTACTAAATTAGGGAGACTTCAGTGAGCTATAGGGCGGATTGAGCTACACGTGCCTCCAGATTGTTTGTTGTGACTGATTGAGTGAATTGATTGTGGTG